ATCTATATAAGCGAAAGGTTACTGACTGATTGACTCACTCATTCATCACGAAATCTCGGAGTCTCAAGTTTGGATGGGGTTCTTTTTAGAACGTAGATGCTCACTAAGACGGGATTTCCGCTACTAAGTTAAAATATTTTTCTGTAACGTGTGCAGAGCAAAATTAAATGTTGATTTACCCCTATGGGCTTTGAAGTCTCGGCCTACTGCCCACCCTACGCGGAAGATATCTGTGTCATGGGCAGTAATTATTTTGTTTGACAAAGGGCAGCATTCCCTTCCTTGTCCTGGTCACACTAATGAGATGTAGTGTCACCGTTAATGAACGCTTACCAAAATAAACCATCAGAGGTGTCGCCCCCAGCCGTTTGTCCGCTGTTTGTATTTATTAATTGCGTGGAAACCCTTACTATCTTTTCGGAGAATTCATTGAGACGAGGCCGTATTAATTTACCGGTTGTTTCGTTTGTTTTACCAACTCCACTCTTATCCGGTGGGTGGTAAAAACAACATGGAACGACTAAGGCTGAGTTGCACCATCTAACTTTAACAGTAACTATAACGATAACCGGTGTGTTTTGTATGGAGTTGAACAGATTTCTGACGTTTGTTAAAGTCAAAGTAAGATGGTGCAGCCCAGCCTTAATGTAATTATAGTTACACGAGTTCTTGTGTAACAAGGGAAAACAACGATTACTTTTTAATAGAGTTTCAGTCAATTAACTATTTAATTGACTGAAACTCTATTAAAAAGTAATCGTTGTTTTCCCTTAGTAGTTTCCTTTTTGTAATTGAAATTATCAAGTATTTTCATACATATCATTGTATTTTCTTGTGCTTATAATTATTTAATAATAAAAAGAACTGCTAGGTATTTTAAAAGGCTTTTTGACAGATCAATCTATGTCAAAGTGACAATATAAAAACCTAAAAACCACGCTATGCCGAGCAATTGGTCCCTTTGTGTAGAATGCCTTTGTTTGATAGAAAAAAAAAACGGATAGGTACGTCGTTAAACCTGTATGCCAATATATCAGCAACGTTTTTTAATAAGTGTCATTGAAGACTTTGATGTATGGCATACCCTTATGTTTTTGCCTTTACCTGCAAAAAATTAAAAATGCCTTTTTGGAACGAAAGAATACATAATAATGTTGCATACATTTTCCAACAAAAAAAAAAACTGTTCCTAGAGTTAGAGAAATACTTCAAACTAGTTCTTGGATTTCAAAAGCTTAGTTATCGTGCATGAATTATGTACAGACGATTCACATCGACGGTTAATATTGTGGTATCTTATGTACCTAATCGTAATACATTATGCTATATTCCTAAAAGTGAAGTTTATGCTGTCAACTGTACATCCTTTAAGGAAGCAAAAATAAAAGAAAACATGTTGTGTAATAAAAGAATCCTGTCTGAAATATGTAAAGGAGTGCTGTATTTGTTATTCGATATTACTTAAATTTTCATCTTTAGAGTGCGATACATCAAAAGCTATCGAGTTCGCGATTCGGTTTGATGTTTGTGATCGATCAGAGGATTTCCTTTTAGGTCTTTTTAGTCAGGGTTTTTTCTTTGAAGCGTCCTTGCGGTTGACTCATATTTTCCCCAGTTCATATTTAATATGGCCTAGAGGCTTCACAGCTCTTTTGACTTTGAGATACGAATGTGGAGTGGACTATTCGGGACCAGATTTGGAATTTTTGCGTCCTGAAATAAAAAAGCTTGCAATTGATTCTGAAAAAGGCACATGCTGTTGTTTGTTTTGCCGTTTTTTCTCTTCGTTTCCAACTATTCAGGTTTTTTTACAGTAATATAGATATAAGGATCGTATATGCGATTCATTTTAGATTTTTCTTTGTTTTCTATTATTTACTTAGGTTTAAAAATAAAAATAAATCTACTTATTTTAACATACTAATACCTTGTTCATTTATTCAAAATAAATAAAGACAATGTATTTCCCCAAATGTTTACCTAGACAGGTTTTTCGTTTTATTAATGGATTTAGAATGAAAAAAATATTCCGTTTGGAAATGAGTGCGTCCCGCAGGCTCGGTGAGCATTGTGACAAATGGCGTTTTTTTAGAAAACGTTTTACTGTTATTTCGCTTTACGCCAGATGTTCCGAACATATTTAGGATAAAACAAATCATATTAAAGAGAATCCTGTTGGATTCTCTTGCACACTTCACAATGCTCACCTGGTACCTAAGTCAGTTGTATTTTTATATTAACCTGTTGTTATGTCAATGATTATGACAGAAATGTACCGATTAAAAAATCAAATTATTGTGAATAATTATTTAATTCATTTCTTGCCAAAGATCGATTGGGCTAAGTAGGTAGGTAGTAGGCACAGCTTGGAGTAAATAGAGTCTTCCAGCGACATGACCCACTTTTAGTTTGGTCTACGGGGCAAGTCACTGGATTGAATTATTAAATCTTTTTTTTTGTTCCGGCAACTGCACCCACCTTCATTGTTTTTATTAATAAATGTAACACCAACTCAACAAAAATCTACTTTAGAATCTTAGAATGGGCCCAGAATATCCTTCTCATTGTTTGAGAATCACTGACCAAAACCGTTTATTTCGCGTGCGCTTCTCCCGATATTCTCAAAAGAATAAACCAGGAAACTCGGCTAGGACGGTCTAATGCGGAAATGAAATGTGATGATAAGGAATTCATTTTTGTGTTCATTTCGTTGTTTACGTATGCATGGGAGGTTTAATCCGCCGGACTAAGCTTTCGTCACGCGGTCAAGCGTCAGGGCAAGCTCAATTTATGCATGGAACATGGTGCATAATGCGTATTACCTAATATTTTTGTAACTTTATCCCATGCATGAGACATTGATAGACAGCGCTCTGAATTTTCTAACATAGCTGATATTATACTGTAAAAATGTTACGACGAAATCAGGAATTAAGAATCGATCGTAAAATACATGAAAAATAAAACTGAAAAGTCTAATACCTAAGGACATATTTTTCATAAATCGTGCTGAAATTGTCCAAAATAAGACACCACGTTATAAGATAGTATTCTCACTTTATTTCATAGTTAAAGATTAGCTGACAAAAACATTCGCGTTACTTAGCTTGTAGCACGATTAAGAGTAAAGATTATAAGTTTTGTATGAACTCACGCTTGCACAACATTATGCTTGATCACGCCCTCCTTATGAAGCGCCAGTTGATAATGTTGTACAAAATAATGACATTAGCACGCATGCCATAAGGTCGTCATGACAGATTAACATAACTAGCCCCCACAGGGGCATACATTCAGCATCAGAAGTAATCGATTTATGTAACTGAATGGCTGTAACGTCACATTTTAGCGACTAAACTACGATAGCGTTAACAAAATCACTTGTTCTAGCGACTACATCAATCGTGATTTTTAGCGAAGTATCAAATATCGATACCTTGTTATAAATATAATATACTGCCTCTATACTAAAAGTAATTCACTACCTACCGTTGTTTTTTCAAGGCGTCTCAAGGCGCACTTGTCTAGACGAGGTCTCCCATTTAGAACTCATCGACCTAAACAGGCATTTTCTACGACAGAAGACCTTGGAACGTATGTACTTAATATCGATTGTTTTTTGTTCACTGAGAAATTCCGCCACAGCCCTTTCCTTTACACTGTTAATTATGACCTTAATTATTACGTATAATGGTGACTTCCTAAAATTGTTTTCTACTCGTGTATGTGGTTCGCGGTTTCCGCATTCTGCTGTAGAATGTATGCCATTTTATGTGGTTAAACGTTGTTCGGGATATGATTGCTAATGCCTTGCTTTGCATAAATTTAATTAGGATCGTTTATGAATGTGTAATATGGCGTTAATATTGTGTTTGTAAGGTTAGCGATACGCATCGAAAATAGTTTAGCGGTGGTAGGTACATTGTTAAGAATATTAAATTTTGCTACGAAGCAAGTTACATTAAAGGTTCCTTTAGTTAGTGTATAGAATAGATGAGCTATTGTGTTTTGAAAGGCGTAAAATTGACTAGCGGTATCAATCTCCATTCAATATCCGTGTAGGAATTAGGTACATAGACCACAACAGACGGCTTTGGTAAAGTTATGGTACCCATACCCTTGGGTCGCATGCTGAGTAGCATATCAGCTGTCATTTGTCAAAATACAAACATGAAGTTTTCCTTTATGGCAGCTCGGAACGTGCTCACAATTCCAAAAGCTTGTCTTTTATTTGCGAACAGTATCATTAGCCACAACATGTGGGGAACGACGCGAAAATATGGGGCAGGCTCTTTATTGCCCGAGTGATAAATGAAGGTAGCAGTATGAGCGGTGAAGGAACATCCGAGGGGATAGTGTAAATTTGAACCAACCTTTGGTTATAAATTTGTAAGTAATCGACCTGTTTGAGCGCTGCTAGCTGAATTTTGGAATATCTATTTTGACTTACGTAATACAATGTTCCATAAATTGATATATTCTTGCTTGCTGTATTTTGCTTGCATGCTTCTTGATGTAAAAGCAGCAGCTATATTATGCTATATGCGCAGGACTGGTCTGGGAGGCCTTTGTCCAGCAGTGGACGTCATTTGGCTGAAACAACCGATATTATGTCCTACAATGTATGTAGTAGCTATGTGCCTACTAGTCACTGAATTTTAGATCCTGAAAATTCTGCTCTGCCCATCAAAGACAAACGAATGTGTTGGGGCTGTAGTGTATGAAGTGGATATTGCGACCGAATTGGAAACATGAAAGTATGATAGGAAAAGGGTATGTGGTGGAACTATTTTTCAATTATGCAGGAATTAATATTCGAATTAACCGATAATATGCTAACTATGTTTTCCGATAAATTACCTGGAAGCAAGGGTATAATCATAATTAACAAGAATTCGTAGAAAGAGTTAATTTACGTAAACTACATATTTGCCAAATTAAGGTAATTCGTTGAAATACCTACNCAAATAAAATGAATTTGAATTTGAATTTGAACTAACGCGTCAAATACAGCACCCGAAACGCGTCCAAAAATCCAGGCTCCTTATAACTCGAGTCTCTACGACGGCTGCCCGACCGGCTACGACTGCGCGTGTGGCTACGGCTGCGGCTACGACTCCTGCTACGGCTACGAGAACGCGACTTGGAGCGTGTTTTCGTAGCGCTAGCGCTTCTGGAGCGTGAACGCTTGTCGCTACGGCGCTTGCGGGCGCGATTTGTGGATCTACTCCGTCTGAAATTGTGGAATAAAGAAGCAATATGTTTCCATAGTAAGTTATACTTCATCTTTATGTGTATGGACATATTGGACATAGATAACTTTGTGCCTACCATGAGTTTACGTTAGGTGAGCTCGCTAGCGAATACGTCAAAAAATTCTATGAAGATTTTATTTCTTGAAAGTAGCCGCTAGGAGCGCTGCACAATATGTCATACATTTAAATGTCATTTTTTTACGCAGTCGCTAGCGAGCACACCTAACGTAAACTCATGGTAGGCACACTTGAGTCGGTTGTGTATAAGGACACAGATAACTTGAATTGTCTTCGAGTTTGGTAGGATAGTATAGTAAAGAAAAACTGTAATGGGAAACATACAGTCTCAGCCACTGATTGAGTAGACCGGGCTGAAACTTACGGACACTTATCTTAATGAAGAAAACTTGAAACTTGACTTAGCAATTTGTCCGCTCTATATATCAAATGGCCCTAATAGTAATTCTAGTGTTTACAAAAGGTAAATTAGTTCATTAAAACCATAACTTCGACTCACCTTTCCCTTTCTTCGTTTAACGGCCCCAGGCCGTAGTAATCCTCAAAGCCGTCCCCATGATCAGGGTAATCCCCCTCTGGGGGGCGCATAGGGGGAAACGGTGGTGGGTAAGGATATGCATAGCTTTCCATTAACTAAAATATTTATAAAATCTTTCTCAATACATGGATGCTCAAACGTCACTGTCAAATTTTGAATGTTTTCATTTTATTTCTTTCGGGGATGACAAGGTAAAGCAAAGAGAATATTTTGAAAGAGGGTGGCAACTAATTTGTTTTTTCGATGCTTAAAGCGGTGTTAAAGCTTGTTTAGATTATTTCTTAACTAAACTTAATCCTTAAGGCTTAATATCTCTCAATAATTAACTAATTAAAAGGAACCTTAATAGATTCTGTGTCTTTACGAGTAGGTTTAAATAAAAGTGCGTCAGTCACACTCGCATGGTTTGCTCAGTGAAGTCATGTCTTAGGCTGAGTTGCACCAACTTACTTTGACTGTAACTATGATATAACCGGTCCTTTTTGTATGGAAGTTTGACAGATTTCTGACATTTGTTAAAGTTAAAATAAGATGGAGCAACTCAGCCGTAGATGGCCAAATAAATGCACACTTCCTGGTTAGGGTTTAAAAAAGATAACTTTTTCGCTTTTACTAAAATCAACAGCTTTTTTTTTTTCAATATATTTTTAAGGTAGCCTTTCGAACTAAGCGTCACAGACGCAGCGTCTTTAGCTTTGGTCTTGTGCCACCAGCGCCGCGTCACGAACTCGCTTCGAAAGGCTACCTTTAAATCTACAGTCATAAAATAAATGTAATTTACTGCGGATACCATTTAATTAGTATCTAAACTTAGACAATAGTGAGACAATCACCGTTATTCATATTTGGGCGTAATCTCGTAATGAATACCTAATAAGATAATGCACTAATTTATGCACGAACCATCACGTAAATATTCATGATGTAATTAACACACAGTAAGTGGATAATGAGACTTGTTCTGATTACGTTTAAGGGTGAGTGTAGACTATTATATGGGAATAACCGATATGACAATAATCGAATAGCTGGTTTGCATAAAAAGAATCTGAATTACATAAAATGTCTCAGTTGGTTAGTAGTACTTCCACCTTTAAGGCTGAGTTGCACCACCTAACTTTAAAGGTAACTATAGCGATAACCGGTGCTTTTTGCATGGAATTTGACAGATTTTTGACGTTTGTTAGAGTTTAAGTAAGATGATACAACCAAGCCTGAGAAGCCTATGCTTAAGTCTGTAGGCTTTTTAACAGTTCTTAATTATCGGTGTAAATAGAGTTTTTGGAGAATATTTAACTTTATTGTGAAGTGTTTTTCATCTAAATTCGAGAAATAAAAAGATCAACCATCAAAATTAAAGATGATTTATAAAATACAGTAAAAAAGTTACCAGCTTACCCAACCCATTACCGTAAATTGATGAGGAACAAAAAATGTCCGCTCTACAATCAATTTGAAAAATCTCATTAAAACCAATCCGATCTCCGCTCCGTTATCAGTTTGCGAAAGTTTGCGATTCGAATAAATCATTGCGCCAAATAATTATCGAGAAGATTTACGACAGTTTCGACTTCATATCGATTCTGATCGAAAAGAAACCGATCCGGTTAGGCTAAGCTTACACTAGTTAATTGGTTTAGAAATGATATCTACAATCTGCAGTACAAAATGGCCTTTAAAATATGACTCAAATAAAATTCAAATGCTTTGTAAGGTAGAGAATATTGTGCTAACGCTGAAAAACATGATACTTATTCATTTTTGGAGTCAATAACTGTAATTATGTTTACCTACTGGCAGGCTGACATCCAATCTAAAAATAACAATTTAGATACACTGGTACATTATTATCATAATCCCCTGTGTAATACCCTATCCACCATTCAACCACATACCTAAATACCCTATCTAAAAACTTTAGTGTGTTCTAACCCTAACCGCTTCGAAAGAAAGAACAATTAAGAAGTAAGATAAATTGGGAATCGATGAATGCTTAATGGTTCCCTCCATTAGAGGGTTTTTGAGTTTACCGAGTACTTTAAAAAAAGAAAATTTTAACTACTCCCTGGAAAGTTTAAGAAATGACACGAGTATAGAGATTATGGAAACACTAAGAGCTATATTGGTCGACTATTCAATCATCTCAATCATAAACATTTAATAGCCCAATTTCATATTTCAATTATGTTAAAAATACTTTATTTAGATGTTATACTTTATTTTCTTTTTTTTATTAATATCAGAGAAGTTCTTGACCATCTCACCTGATGGAAAGTTATTATCAGGCTGAAGATAGAAACGTCGAACTTCACCTCGACATCTTCGATCACAGAATTTATCAAATAAATTAAGCCAACCTAACCTTATACGAGTACCTTACCTAACAAAGTCATTGTTCCTCCATTTCCATGGAACCTATATCCACGTCGTAGTGAGGCAGGAGGAACGTTCCTCAACTTTGCTTTGAGGCGGTCTATTCTTCACTTTTTGATACTGCGCAACTTTCAGCTCATTTGGATTCCTTACTTTTGTATACCACTTCGCTTCTACGGCTCTACCATTGCTAACGTTAAAATATTTCAGCCATTTCACTCGGTTACTGTAAGTTGAAGAACTGCGTTTTGTGGGATATGATTTTGGTTGCGACTTTAACTGTAATTGGTTAGTAACGTCTTGTTGTTTGACACGAAATGTTTATTTGGATTAACTTATTCTTATAATGAGAAATAAAGTTTTTATTTACTCTTGTCCGATAACTATCAGTGAAGAAGCTTGTCTATACTCGTACAGTAACTTATAAATGAGTAACTTGACTAACTATCATTGTTAATTGAAAGTAGGTAAATACACTTTAAGTTACATAAAATATTTCATAATAAGTGAAATGCTGATAGCTCTCTACGTAATGTATTTTTTATTGTTTAGAATTTAAAATCCATTCCAATTTGAATTAGTACTTATATCATGATATTATGATAATACAAAATCTTGCAGTATAAACAACGGCAAATGTCTAAAGAGTAATTTTGTAATTAAGACTTGTATTTCGCTTGCAAAACCAATTTTGTTTTAATTAAAATTGATTTAACAACGAACGGAATCTTCCGTGCGCAAGTTCAACTCGAACTTAGCTGTTTTTTCCACGACTTCAATCCGTATCGTCGAAACTCACACACGCTACACCAGGCTTTTCAAACGCCAAATCGCAAACTGCTTTCCCACGTGGAAAACCAGCGCAAGCGAAATTAATGAAAATAAACTTCAAGTTTCAACAACGTTGCAGTTCGGCCTCGTCAAAGGCCAGGTTTTTATAAACTGTAAAAAACGCAATAATTAACTCAAAATGCGAGCTGTCAACGGTAACCTACTTCGTGAGCTGAAAATCAGAGTGCATACACTCGAAAACCGACTCTACATTTTTCACAAACGGTTCATTTTCGTATTTGACTCGGTCCGATAAGTATTAGTATAAAACATTTAGCGAAAAAACCTTCCGTGGGATGCTAAATTCCGCTTTTACCTTACCGTACTCTTTCTAATTACTGCTTTTACTATGATATAATAGGATGCGGAGTTCAAGCCTTACAAATCCTGTGCATGGACATCCCGATATAAATACAGGACCCTGACTCTGTTCAAACTAGGCTTAATTAAATTGGATGTAAGGGTTGCAACGAGATGTTATCTTTTTTACGTTTTTTAGTTAAAAATGTTTACGCGGAAACTTGCGGAGCTTGTGCACGAAGTTAGGTATGGCTTGCATGTAATTAACATCACTTTTTAACATTTTTTGTGAAAACTTTTCGTTGTTTTGCAGCTTTTTTAGGTTAATGTTTTTTTACTGTATTTTTGTGTTAATTTCTTCTTTCCAGCACGATATACTAACTACAAGCCAGCAGTCTCTAAAGCCATTGATATTAATCTGACATTGCTAGTGACCACTCTGTTGATGCTTTGAATTTACATATTTATTTTACCTTCACCATGTATAGACGCATGTAAATATTGCCCTGTCAGCTTAATAATCCCATTTCTAAATTAAGTGGATCATAAAGGGCTATTGCTACCAAATTAGAGTACCTTTGATGTAAACTAAGCAAAATGATCAACACAAATTCAATTTAAACTTACATTGATTCATTGGTTGTACCCAGCAGAAACCAAACTTTTACATAACTTTGAACTTACAAAGCAAAAAATTAATAAACCATATCGCCAGTTACTCATTAGGGCCGATTAGACCGAAGAAACAAAACCGGCATTTGGAGGGTTCCCAACGAGGCGAGAGGGTCCTTAGTGCCCTCGGCACTGGAGGGTTGAAGTCAGTGTTCCATCGGAAATTTTATTGCAAAATCGCATCTATTACAACGGTATAAGATTCAATGGTGGATAGGCTGATGTGCCGTGGTTGTCACCTCAGGGGAACGATCCACTCGCGATGTTTTTAAGATATTTACTACTGTTTTGTACCTTGGGGATTTCGAGTTTTATAATGTACAGTCAGCAGCCCACCAGACTACACATTTCTGTTGCAAAGTAGCTCTTATTGCAATCACATAAGTACCCACAGTGTTAAGCTTCATGTGCTGTCGTCTGTGCGTTTTTATTTTGAACTCCGTCAATCAATCATACAAGGTTATTAAGGGTAAATCTGAGTTAATTTATAATGTTTTTTAAGGATTTAAATGATAGAGCTCAGAGAATATATTATTATTTTAAGCTTTTATTGTTACATGAAGTAACAATGTAACACACGCGTTTACACTCAACTTTAGCCTTCTCTCTGGCTGTCAGGAACAATGGTTTTATTTACTTTTTAATGAATAGGTTGGTGAAATAGAGAATAGAAATGGTACCTAAACTAAATTATACATGTCTTAAATCACTTAGATGGTTGGCAGTCCAAAACAGTACGTTTTTCTAGAAACTTCCTGCCCCGTACAACCAAACTGTGGAATGGACTGTCGTCTGCGGTGTTTCCGGACGGATACGACCTGCAAGCTTTCAAGAGGAGAGCGTATCTTTATCTTAAAGGCCGGCAACGCACCTGTAACGCCCCTGGGTCTGCGGGTGTCTATGGGCGACGGTAATCACTTACCATCAGGTGATCCGTCTGCTCGTTTGCCTCCTATCACAT